AATTTTTCAAAAAGCGTTTGAAAGCTTGAGAGCCCTTCTATATGTGATTAAATTTTCAAGTATCTAAGGGCCTTGGTTTTTGCTGTCAAAATTTTGAAAATTTGCAATTTTATTTTTTAAATCTGGATTGCAAAATTATTATGCAAAATTTATTGAACCGATTTTGATGAAATTTGGTGTGATTCTACATAACATGAACTCTTCTTGAGCCAAATATGAAGGTCCTATATTCAACTTAAAGACCCCAAAAAAAATCCCTAAAAAATAATGTTTTTTAACCCCATTTTTGTCGATTTTCTCGATTTTTACAATAATAATCATGATTCATTCGATTTGTAACTAGTCATATTTTGTAAAAAAATTAATTACAAACATTTTTTCCTCTTCCATTTTCGCCTAAAATCAACTCTTGAAAAGATACATAATTAAAAAGGAAGAAAAATATGACATTTTCTGATTTTTTTTAACATATTGTGCCGCCAAAAGTTAAGCCCACGTTTTTTTTTATCATAGAAAAATTTTCATTTCTAGTGATATTTGAAAGTCAAAAGGCCAAAAATCTCCGTGGATATACAATTCACCCAAACCAAAACAGATACCGCCCAGTCTAACAGCAATTTTTTAATTTTGACTGAGACCGCTTTTTAATGTAATTAATGGGTGATCTTTTATTATAAATATAACATATAAAACTTACATATTATATTTAGCAATACTATTGTCTTTCTTTCAGCGTGAAGACAGACGTAAGTTTGATCATTTAATCCTATACTGTCTCAGTTGAGAACATATAGATTGTATAGATTTGGACTTCGGTTCTGCCCGCAATTACCAATCTCTTAGCCCATCCGATTTAGTAAATCACACGTGGTTGAAGAATTTAAAATATATTCGTTTCTGAAGTTGTAGGCATTCAGGACTTAGCATTGAATTTTAAATAATTTTTATCAAATCGAAATAATTTTGGTATCATTGCAAAACTAAAAAATAGATCCACTTCCCTCGTGTAAGCAATTTTTTATTTAAGCCAGTTTATTTAAGTAAATAAATTGTAAATAGTGCGATTTCTTGCACAGTTTACTCTTTTTTAAACGATAAAAAATTTATTTTGAAAAAACTTATACAACTGTCTTAGGAAACAATTTTGTCTTTAGATTATTTTTTTATTTAGGTCGCTATGTTTATTCGTTTTCCAAATAAGTCGTGTATGGGTCATGTGCAAAATATGGGACTATTTCAAGCGCGCGACGGACTCTTAAGTGAAGGTATTGCAAGAAACGACTACTCTAGGCTATACGCCTCAGCTGAATGATTTTTTGTGTGTTTAATGATATTGCTAGTGTAATTCATTGCTAGCCAAGGCATAGAATAGTTGTTTCTTGCAATATCGTCACTTAAAACTTTGCTTTCGCTCTCACAGGGTCAACACTGGTCAGGCTTTCGTAATATCTGTAATACAGGTTGCTTTCTGCCATTTTTTTGGCCTCTTTGTAAGTCTCGGGGAGTTGTAGCTCTCAGTTATTTGAAAATACTGTTACTGACCTAAAAATCGCGCACTTAGTTACGACTTTATCCGTTGAATCAATAAATTTCAGGCACCCCGGACTAAAATGCCTCCTAAACAACCCGAACTGCTCCGCCGCCAACACGGACCCCTACATCATGGAAGAACGCGACCCGCTCAGGTCCTACGCGATGAGCAGCTCCTTGTGGGAACTGGAGACGCTGCAGCACCACGTCCTCCCTAACGTCGCCAACGCCGCCAAGTTCATAAACGCCCCCCTGCCCAGGGTCGAGTGGGATCTCGGCAAGATGTTAGACAGCACCGGCGACGACATATTCGACAGGGAGGTGAAGAAGTTTAGTAAATTGATCGTCTTGCAGTTCGAGAAGCCCAACGGCGCGACGATCGGAAAGGGCGACCGCGTGATGCAGTATTGGAACCTGTAAGTTTAAAATGGTGCACCCCTGGGGTATGTCGGACCTGTTTTGTTTTAACGTTTCGTAGAGTTACGCCTCCACGGCTAATTTTTTACGTAGGTTTTGTACTTTTGTATTTTCTTATCCACCGCCGGTTGCCAAATTTTCAAAAGGGTTCTTTTTTCGCAGGCGCTTTTTGAGACTAGTAAAGTGACGGAGGAATATTATTCCGATATTGTGGCAGTTTTGTTTTTGTTTTTTTTTTCTTTTTCTTATTTATTGCATATTTTGCCAGCTGTGGGGAAATTTATAAATTAATGGAATAAATCCTTGTGCCAAAAGGATTAGACGAGGGTTATTTTTCTGAAATTAGATTTGCATAACCGAAAATCTTACCCATTGACCGATTGATCATTTTGGAGCAAGAGTTTGTTTAATTAATTTTTTTTAATTTTTAATACATGGCAAAATACCCAATAAATAAGGAAAAAATCCATAGTTGTAATGTGCTATCCCTTCTTTTTTTTTTATCTCTTAATATGTTGATATTCCGTTGATATAAACTAATCCAAACAATTAAAGGATCAAAAGAATTTCCGAAATTTTTCCGTGATTTTTGACGGACTATATTTAAGTGAAAAATGGTCGTATCGAGAATTAAAAAAAAGCATTGAAGCTCTAAGATTCTAGTTTTTAGATCTTTCGGTCGAAAATTTTTAGTAGTTACGGTTATCATGCAGTTCTAAAAAATAGCGTGACAAAAAAATTTTGCAAATTTTTTTTATTTTTTTTTTCCACGGATTTGGAAAAATTTTTTTCAGCTAAGCCATTGCATGGACCAGATAGCTTGTTTATTCAGCTTTAATTTCCTTTTTTTTAAATATCGATACGACCATTTTTCATCGAAATATAGGACTTTTAATGGAAAAGGATCCTTTTGTCTTCAATCATCGATATCTCAGCGACAAATGGTTGTACAGAGAATTGATGGGCAGTTTCGAAAACTGGAATAAATTTCCTATAACATGCTGCCGCAACTTTCCATCTTTTACACGAATTTTAAAAAACAGGAAAAAAAGAGAAATTTATGTTTTTTTAGAAAATTGACGGCTAAATTAAAAATATTACGAAATGACTAGCATGACTTTTACAGTTCGATATACCCAGAAGAATCCTGTGAAGTTTCATCTCGATCTAGCAAACCGTTTCTTTGTTTCAAACAGTCAAACTTTTGAAAAAAATTAAAGGGTCACGTTTTTCAGTTCATAATCATGATTATAATGGAAAAAAAATATTTTTTGAGGTTTTCTCACATTTTTACCGCAAATAACTTAATTGATGAAAAAATATATATATTTTTCGAAAAGTTCAGAACATTTTCGAATTTTTATTTTTTTTGTAAACCTTCCGGACATTGAAGAAAACAAAATCCAATTGTTTCCAGCACGATTCGGCTTTTCTGTCCTATGCTTCTGTGTATCAGCTTTTAATTAAATTAAAATTAAAGTTGATGACCAAACCAGATTTCGATCCCGATTCATACCGTTTTTTGAGACAAATTTTTAATTAATTTTTGTGCAGTCTGTAATCACTTAAAAAAACTGTTTTTTTCAAAACTACCCTTTTTCTTCTGAAAACAAATTTCGAAAATTTTTTGAAAAAAAAATATTTTTTTTTCATCAATTTAAATATTTGCGGTAAAAACGTGGGTACCTCAAAAAAAACAAATTTTCCATTTTAATCTTGATTATGAAGTGTTTAAGCTCAAAAATCGTGACCCTTTAATTTTTATCAAAAGTTTGACTGTTTGAAACAAAGAGACGGTTCGTTAGATCGAGATGAAATTTCACAGGGTTCTTCTGGGTATATCGACCTGAATATTTCTAATTTAGACGTCAATTTTCTAAAAAAAAACATAAATTACCCTTTTTTCCTGTTTTTTTTTAAATTCGTGTAAAGGACGAAAAAAAAAAAATTCAGAAAAGTTGCGGCAGCATGTTATATGAAATTTATTACAATTTTCGAAACTGCCCTTCAATTCTCTGTACAACCGTTTGTCGCCAAGATATCGATGATTGAAGACAAAAGGGTCCTTTTCCATGAAAAGTCCGATATTTCAATGAATAATGGTCGTATCGAAATTTAAAAAAGAGGAAATTAAAGCTGAATAAACAAGCTATCTGGTCCATGCAATGTTTTAGCTGAAAAAAAAAAATTTTTCCACGTCCGTGAACTCGGAAAAAAAAAAAAAATTGCAAAATTTGTCGCTCTATTTCTTAGAATTGCATGATAACCGTAGCTCCTAAAAATTTTCTACCGAAAGATCTAAAAACTAGAGTCTTAGAGCTTCAAAATGATTTTTTTTAATTCTCTATGCGACCATTTTTCACTCAAATAGTCTGTCAAAAATCACGGAAAATTTTCGGAAATTTTTTTGACCCTTTAATTGTTTGCATTAGTGTATGTTAAAAAAATTATAATTACTGTTGATTAACATTCCACGTATATATCGCACAGGGTGTCCTGAAGCGAACGGGCGGCAGACGTAGCTTCGTTAAAACGTGGATGTCGCCAAAAAGTGTTTTAATTTTTGACTTTTTTTTTGAGAAAACAGATGTTTCATGAAATTTCACTTTATTTAAATACATACACTGGTTTCATGTAACTCAAACATACTTAAAAAAATATTTTCAATTCTCTTCTGTTAACAATAATTATATGCAGACGGCTGAATTTTCTGGGCATTCTGGTATAATTAAACTTGATCCTTTTGCCGGATTTGTAATTGTAAATTTAAACTGTAGGGTATATTTAATTTAATTGCATATTCAACTAAAGAATGAGGTTTAATATTTTATTTGTTTTAATATACAGGGTGATTCACAAAGGGTGACCAAAAATGTGACCTCGTATTCTTTGGTGAATTTTAATTGGTGTCTTTCCTACAAAGTATAGTTTTAAATTAATTATAATTTTTTTAAATAAATTAAAAACTAGTAAGTGAAATAATTTGATAATGGGCACCTGTATTTATGTAAACATTGTCCAAAATTTGAGACCCTTTTCTAAAATGTAGATGCTTCAGTGGCGGAGATACGGAGTATTAGTGGCATATAGTAAAATAGTACACCACTGCTTTACGGTGACAATCATGATATTTTCAGATTAGTCTTTCAATTTTCTACAAATTGGAAACACTTTTACTTAAATGACATGACAAACACTAATCATTCCGTTATTTATTCGAATAAAGAAATTAATATCTAATATTAATCGTTTTATTGTTAATACCGTTTGTGAATCACCCTGTATATTTACTTCGTTCACTTTACTAGTCATTTTTATTTTATGGGTTGTCATTCCCTCACCATGGGATGTTTTTCCAAGTATTTTATACAGTACACGAAAAAAAAGATGTAAAGTAAAAAATTGTCGTTCAGCGTCCGGATAACGGTAACGTCTTTCAAAAGGGCACCCCGGACCGTGAAAAAACGAGCATGTGATGTTACGCGAACATATCGCTGAGGTATTTTGTCAATTTTTTACTTGTTGAAAAAAAAAAACGTACGGGAAAAATTTTACTTGTCTTGATGGATATAATCTCTAATCCTATTGAAATGCAGATACGTTAACAATGAAGTGAATTAGTTCGGAGTTGGGGGAGGTGAAGAAATTTCGATGCGCACTACCAGGAAAGGGGCATTTATTTCACACTTGCATTTATTAAAATAAAATTTATGTTTTTTTTTACTCATCGTTCATTGTTTGCCTTATGATATTACGTTTGTTTTGTGTTTTCCTTACTCGTCCGGTAAAAATGATAAATTTTCAAGGTATTTGAGGTACAACGGTGTTTCGGGTTAATATGTCATGGTCCCTGCTACCGGTTTTGTAATTCGTGATGGCTATGGCGCAACAACCCGGAAAATTTTCGTAGTTTAACTATCAACCACTAAATTTTTACTAAATTGCGGTTTGTCTCAAAAAAAATATATATGCACTCTAGTGATTTTTCTTTTTAGATATATTTTTTTATCAGGCAGTTATGAATAATGTTGTAAAAAAAATTGTCATTTAATTTCTGTCGCTTCCAACTCTCCTTCGAAAAGTTATAATAATCAACTGTTAAATTTACTTTTATATGGTATTTTACAAGTTAGGACGTGATATTTATATGCCTAAAGTATGTAAAACCAACTTGCTGTGTTATTTTATATATATGTACGTATGAATAATATTAGGTTAGGATTTATTTTGTCACCTTTTTGTTATACTTATCAGTTTCCTGTTTAAATAAAATGTTGCTTTTCTATTTGTTCATTTATTTGATCGGTTCTCATATTTAAACGAAAGGTTATTACAAAGCGAATTTCTGCACCACCCGCCAAGAGTAAAAAAATTTAACACATAGGTAGGTAGTTGTTTGAAAAACTTGATTTGCTAATATATATCATTACGATTATTTTAAATTTTTTATAATTTTTTTTAGACGCTTCATCCACATTGACAAAAAAATGTGGTGATTTTAAAATAACACGTCGCACGGTGGGAGAAAACGCTCAAAATTCCGTGCGAGGTAGTAAAAGTTGTCCAAATTGGGATATTTTCTTTAAATACTCATAATCTCAACTTGCGATATCTTAAATACTCTCATAAACTACAATCAGAAATGTTTCCCATAAATGATACCACAAAGTATGAACAATATTTAGTCAATATAAAAAAAAAAGGTATAAAACTTAAAACCAGTTAATTGTAAACCCTTCAACCGTAAGCCTACAAACTTAGATTCATTGAACAAAACCCATACTCATAAAATTTAAACCGATAAAATCTAAACCCACAAAACCTTAACCAACAGGTTTATGGTTTCAAGAATTTGTGGTTTAAGGGTTTACAATTAACTGGTTTTAAAATCTGTGCCATACATTTTTTATTAGTGCTGGCAACTGAAATCGGTTTTTTGGATAGTCGGTTAACCGGTTTCGGATAATTCGGATTTTTACGAAATCCGAAAACCGGTTATTCGATTCTTCAAATATCCGATTATTCAAATAACCGATTATTTGATAATCTACTTCCTTTTTTTTGGAGATCGATTTCTTCGTAAACAAATTTGACTTCCAGATTTTTGTAGACCTTTTTTTTTAGACATCAATTTCTTCCGGTCTGTCTTTGTAAAGCACCGATTTTCAGATATCCGGTTTTGGTGATTCAAGTAACGGGTTATTCGAATAACCGATTTTAGCAACTATTTGACTAACCGGTTTTACCTGAAATCAGTTTTTACGGAACCCGGTTAACTGGTTTCACTTTTTTCCGGTTTTTGCCAGCACTATTTTTTATATTCCCTAAATATTGTTTATTGTATTTTGTGAAACATTTCTGATTGTAGTTTATAAGAGCATTTAAAATATCGCAAGTTGAGATCTTAAAATATCGCAATTGTCGCAGTGACATAAGAAAGCAGACATAATTACGAATATTTAAAAAAAAAAATCCCAGTTTAGACAACTTTTACTACCTCGAATGGAATTTTAAGCGTTTTTGCCCACTGTGCGTAATAGTCATATTAAAGCAATGTTTCCACTAAATTGTTTTTCATTAGTTTCGCAAAATTATTTAGAATTAGTAACGTATCTCCGTACCAATATTAGTTAATATTTAATAAATCGTGTAAAATTTTTTTTTGTTGTAAACTATAGAATGTTTTTTAAAGTTCGGCGCTTCGACCACAGTGATATCAAAAAAATATGGTTACTTTAAAATAACACATCGCAAAGTTTATACAAAAGCAATCTGTTTTAATAAATTATTTTTCATTGTCACTTCGCAAAATGTGCGTTGATTTAAAAACAGCTGGCACCGCTGATAGTGCATTAATATGCAAATTCCGGGAATCCCGGTTTATTCCACGTTGTACACATGAACTAAAATGTAGTTGAAAAAACTATATAACTCGACTATTTGTTTGATTAAAAAAAAAACATAACTTCAGATTCGTTTTCAAGGGGACACATTATTACTCCTAAAAAACTGACTCCCTGTATGTCCACAGAAAAGGCGTTGAATAGAAAAAACTTTCTTATTTTCCATTTTATTGAAAAAAGTTAGTCTTGATAAAAAATGTTGCTGGTTCTTGAAGTAAGATTGGGATAGAAAAATTTAACATTTCTTGTACGTGGTGTTCAAAAAATTGAAAAAACTTTAAATGCTACAAGTAAAGTGCATTTATTTGTGAAGATATGGAAATAAGTTACTAGGAAAAGTTGTTCAAAAGTGAAAGGCAGTCTCCAATAGTAATTTTCGAAAAAATTGGTGTACTTTTATTTATTTGTGAGCATTAAATTTATTTATTCAGTGGTCTCCTAGGAGTCTAGATTTGACAATAATGGATTATTTCCTATGGGGTCAACTGAAACAAATTTGTCACTGAGATTTTTTGGGCATTCTCGGAGCGCCATGCTATTAATATTGTGATAAACAATTTGTTTCAGTTGACCCATAGGAAATAATCCATTATTGTCAAATTTGGACTTCTAGGAGGCCACTGAAAAAATAAATTTAATGATCACAAATAAATAAAAGTAGGTACACCGATTTTTTTCAAAAATTAGTATTAAAGTCTGCCTTTTGAACAACTTTTCCTAGTAACTTATTTCCACATCTTCACAAATAGGTGCACTTTACTCTTGTACCATTTAAAGTTTTTTCAATTTTTTTAACACCCCGTACAAGAAATGTTAAATTTTTCTATCCCAATCTTACTTCAAGAACCGCAAAATTTTATATCGAGGAACTTTTTTCGATAAAATTAAAAATAAAGTGTTTCCTATTCAATACCTTTTCTGTGGACATACTGTATAATAAATAACACTTTATCCTTCATTCACCTTTTTTTTCGTGTTTTTTTATTATAATTCGGGTATTCTTATAAATAATTAACATTTAAAACAACTTTATTTAGTTTCTATTTATACATACATATTAGGGTGGCCCAAAAAAAACGAATATTTTTTTCGCGTATTGTGAAAATATGTGTTTATCATGTTTTAAGAGCCCCTCAAAAAATCAGCTCAAAAAAAATTTTTTTAGATGTCCCTCTAGATTTTTAAAAAATTTCCAAAATCGTCAAAAATTGAATTTTTTTTAAAATTTTTTTTCTCGTTATTTTATCATTTTCTAAAAATAAATATCAACGAACTAATAATTTTTTTTAATTGAATTTGATGAACAAAAGAATAGATGTCTTGAGACCCTTAAATTTTAAAAAATTAAAAAATAAATATTAGATACAGTGGTAGTAAATTTTGCCTCGAGAAATTTTTGAAGTGTCTTGTGATTTATTTCTATCCTTCTGTTCATCAAATTTAATAAAAAAAAATTATTAGTTCATTGATATTTATTTTTAGAGTACTTACACTACTTTGAAAGTTAAAATAATGGTGAGTGACCTTTAGAAATTAAAATATTGATTTGAAATTTTCAGAATCGAGATCTTTTTTCAACCTATAAAATGATAAAACAACGAGAAAGAATTTATTTAAAAAAATCTATTTTTGATGATTTTGGAAATTTTTAAAAATCTTGAGCGACCTCTAAAAACATTTTTTTTACCTTTTTTTTTTAATGGGCTCTTAAAACATGATAAATTAACATATTTTCACAAGACACGAAAAAAAAAATATTAGTTTTTTTTTTGGGCCACCCTAATACATACAGGGTGTTCCTAAATAAGTGTCGCAACGGAAAACTGTAAATTCCTCTTGAAAAAAGAAACATTTTTTTCCTCTTCCATTTTTCTCACCGGGCTTTCGTTTTCAAGATACACTGTGTCAAAACTTTAATTTTTTTTTAGTTTTTCGCCAATATCTTAGAAATTGTTTGAACTACAGGACTGAGCTTTTGTACACACATTACCACTATTAATAGCTACTTTTTCACACCCTTNAACAAATTTAATATTTAATTTTTATTTATACATACGTATTAGGGTGGCCCAAAAAAACGAATATATTTTTTCGTGTCTTGTGAAAATATGTTAGTTTATCATTTTTAAGAGCCCCCTCAAAAAATTAGCTCAAAAAAAATTTTTTTAGAGGTCGCTCAAGATTGATAAAAATTTCCAAAATCGTCAAAAATTGAACTTTTTTTAAAATTTTTTTTCTCGTTATTTTATCATTTTCTAAAAATAAATTTCAACGAACTAATAATTTTATTTTATTGAATTTGAACAAAAGAATAGAAATAAATCGTGAGACCCTTAAATTTTAAAAAATTAAAAAATTATAAATATTTGATACTAAGTGCAGTAGTAAATTTTGCTTCGAGAAATTTTTTAAGTGTCTCGTAATTTATTTCTATCCTTTTGTCCATCAAATTCAATAAAAAAAAATTATTAGTTCATTGATATTTATTTTTAGAGTACACTACTTTGAAAGTTAAAATAATGATGAGTGACCTTTAGAAATTAAAATATTGATTTGAAACTTTCAGAATCGAGATTTTTTTCAACCTAGAAAATGATAAAAAAACGGGAAAAAATTAAACACAAAAAAATTAAATTTGACGATTTTGGACATTTTTAAAAATCTTGAACGACCTCTAAAAAATTTTTTCTTTGACCTGACGTATTGAGGGGGCTCTTAAAACATGATAAACTAATATATTTTCACAGGAGACACGAAAAAAAACATAATCGTGTTTTTTGTGGCCCACCCTAAATTGTATAGGCATAACATATTATATTATATATTATTATTGTATCTATCAGGGAAATATTATTAAAATTTTAAGTTATTATTAACAAGATGTGTAATGGAATTCCCCTAGCAGGTAAGACCGTCAAGAAATTGTTCTTATCTAATTCCAATATAATGATTCCCACTGCAAAAAATGACTGAGCAAGATACCGTTGGACTGGAATATAATTACTGGTAAATAATATAGGTACATATAATTTCATAAGGGTGCATAAGGGTGAAAAATTTGAAAAAGTCAATTGAAGAACCATACATTCAAGGTATGCACCAGGCTCGGTCCCTACGCAGCAACTCGGCATTGAAATATTTGAAAAACTTGTTCCCATATTTATTTAGCCATACCCATACAGAGGTCTGGTGGGACTAAACGTGCAGCTGGTAGAAATGTATACGCCCAGTTGAAGAATGCGCGTGCGGGCAAATAATGTCCCATACAGTTGCTTTGGTCAACTGCGTCGTGAATTTCAGTTCTAGACAAGTAGCTTGGCAGTGCAGTGCGGGAATGCGGAATTTGATGTGATTCAGATAATTTTAATTTACTATAGGTACCTTCTATCAATCATTCATATGACAATTGCGAAAGGGAGAAATAAGAGGGATATTTTGTTTATTAATATTATCACAACATGGCATTNAAGATTTAGTTGAAAATTCCAGAATTTAATTTAATTCATGTGTGTTAATTTTATTTTATTGTATTTTTTGTAAATTTTATGTTAATTTCTCGTTCATTTTTCTGTCTGTTTCATTGTATTTTGGTATAATGATGTCTATTAAACGTGTTATTAAATATTTGTTGTGATTGATTTATTATCGCATGGGTTACTAGATAAAAAGTTTCTTTATGCATAATAAACAATTTGACAGCAATTTAGCCGCAGAATCGTTAATGTTCAATATTTTTTCATGAAATTTGGTACAGATCCATTTCAGGGGACGCCGAATCCAGTGGCGTACGCAAATTTCTTCTAAAAAAATCGCTAATATGGATTCTGGATTTTTCAGCCTCTGAAAGTGATCTAGTAGGCCTTAGTTTAAAAAAGAACTGGACGGCGCTTGGCCCCAAAATACACTTTACCCCCCTCTACATTTCAAAAAAAATTTCGTCAAAATCGCTCCATAAATAAAAATGTTATGAGGGTGGCCCGCTTTCAAATGGGTCACTCTGTATATATGTACATATACAGGGTGTTTATTAAACATACAGCAAAAATTCAAGGGGTTATTCCCTGGACTATTCTAAGAATATTTTGTCCTTTGATAATTTTTGAAAGGCTGTTTTTCTCCTAATATAAATGGTGAGAAAAATTTTTGACAAAACCAATTTTAATATTTTTGAAATTATTAATGTAGTTCAAATAAAAGTATGGTGTACTACACTGGGTTTACCAAGTAGATATTTTTTTGAAAGAAAAAAAGCAGGCAAGTGCAGGCATTGAAAAGAAACCAGTTTGAACGTGGCGAGACGGTTGTACACTGAACGATTTCCTGTCTGTAATGTTCCTGATAAGAAAAACCTTCCAAAATATTCATCAACGTCTTCATCAAACGAAGTGGAGGATCAGGAAGGCCAATGACGATGAAAAATTGCAAATACTTTGAATGTAAGTAACGGGATTGTTTGGAATATTCTTTCTTAGGGACTATTGTTGTACCCAACACATTCAGACACTTCTTCCTTGCGGTCCTTTTAGGTTGGCCACGAATTAAACCGTCCCCTCCTTATGTATAACACCATGTTATACATAAGTATAACACCAATTTATTTAAAAATATACATTGACTAAGGACTTACACACCTAGTAAAAATATTCATATCATCTGCCAGTGAAATATAAAAAAAAAGATTTCTCTAACTGACCGTATAAAAATATAACTTCCCAACTACTCGATTTACACAAATTTTACATCACGACGATATCCTTTCCTGCAGCAATCCCCACGCATTATACACCTGCTCTCTAGTATGCTCCGGTTCCCACAAGGGGCAGAACACTACGTTTGCATGATTGACGTAGAAGGTATTGGGCTGCTGGGCGTCTAGCCTATTTTTCGCCTGCTCTTCGGTAAGTCCGTTTCTCGATATCAAGCGAGTTATGGCCTCTTGTCTAGGCACTAATGTCGTCCAAACCTGGAAAACCATTTTATACTATAACTTGTCGACTAAATGCGTCGCCTTAATTTTGTCGCACATCCATTATTTTCCACTTAGTTGCTATAATTTTTTAGATTCTGTATATTTCTAACTCACCTCGTGACACTGTTTGTCCCAACCGGCCGTCAAAAGTACGGCCGCTTCTACAACGACGACTTTCTTATCACTCTCCCTGATAATTTTATTAACCTCTTCGGCTATCGTTGGCCAAACCAAAGAATTCAAGGCCTTCATTTGTTCCTAAAATGTGAGCTGTGGAGTTAGCTACTAATAACAGCTCCAAATTGCAATAAAAAAGGAAATTGAATGTGTGGTAGACTCGACCACCATACCCATACGTTTTTGTGATGCTGAATCCAAATCACATCTGTGCTTGACTAAATTATAGCTCTTGTTCAAGATCAAGAAACAAGAAATGGTCTTCAAGTAACCTTGAACGTGAATTTACTTTGTCCAACGAACACAGGATTTGGATTCAGTGATGGGCCAGTGAAAATACCTCGTTATTTGCCAAAATTTAGTTCAGTAAACAGAGACACGTAAATATTAGGAAAAATTCCATAGAATTGAATGAATTACTTTATCCCAGCGGACTTTATTTTCAAAATGGCATCCAAAGTTCATAAAAAAAAAATTTTTATTTAAAAAACATTTTAGAAAAAATGTTTTAGACAAAAGTTGTAGTAGAACTTTTTATAACAAAAATTTTGAAACCAGCCCTATATCAATTGACAAACAAATGTATTAGTTATTGCAAAAAAAACGGCTAAAAACCACATTTTTTTTAAACTTACAACGAAAAAAGATTTTTTTACGAAACTTTCGGAATATGTAGTCCTTGACAAGTAGAATAAAAACATTTTTGTAAAATTCCAAAATGTTTCAGTTTTTTGCAAATATTGAATTTTTCGAAAAAAATAAATTTTTTTCAAGTTTCAATAAATTATACAGTAATGCACTCATATGATCCATCTTGTGGATAAAGTTTTCTCTAAGAGCTGTACTTCCCTGTGAAAATCGTGCGCGTATTGCAAAGTAATTGAAAATCTGCGAAAAATCTACCGAAACTTTGAATTTCTTTTCTGGGTCGAAAAATGTAGATCTTTTTCTTATCATTGAAATTTAATCGGAATAGCATTATTGCCAACTGAAAACTGACATTTTTTCACGAATTAAAATAAAAATGTCCTACGAACAATTGGAGCCGAGAAATTTTTTTTTTCAATAAATCGCTACGACCTCATTTATTAATATTATTTTTTGAAATTTACACATGTTGTAGTTGAATACTTTTACTTCAATATAAAAAATAGTCCACAATGATCCTTTTTTCAGGAAACTTAATTAAAACGTACACCAACATCTCGAGCAGAGCAAGCATTTTACGGGGCCCAACAAAATTAAGTTTACTGTAAAAAAAGGGGTCAATCGTTGCGGAATTTTTTTATATTGAAGAATAAATGAGATCGTAGAGATTTTTTGAAAAAAATTTTCTCAGCTCCTGTTGATCGTAGGACATTTTTTTCCAAATTCGTGAAAAAATGTCAGCCTCAAATAGCAAAAATGTTATTCCGATTAAATTTCGTTGATAAGAAAAAGATTACATTTTTCGACTCGAAAAAAGAAGTCAAAGTTTCTGTAGATTTTTCGCATATTTCCAATTACTTTGCAATACGCATAAGATTTGCACAGGAAAGCAAAATTCATAGAGAAAATTTTAAGCCCAAGATGGGTCACGTAAGTTAGGGTGGGTCAAAAAATAAGAGCTCATATTTGGAGAGAATTTTCTAGAGGTGTCTAGCAACCTATTTTTCAGAGTATACAGTAAAAAAAAATAGTTGATTTTTTTACCCATTTTTTTTAAGTGCATTACTGTATGATTTATTGAAACTTGAAAAAAATCTCTTTTTTGCGAAAAACTCAATTTTTGCAAAAACTCAAATATTTTGCAATTTTACAAAATGCATTTATTCTACTTGCCAAGGACTACATATTCTAAAAGCTTCATAAAAAAATCTTTTTTTGTTGTAAAGATAGGTATAGAAGTTTTAAAAAAATGTGATTTTTAACCGCTTTTGTTTTTTTTTTAATAAAAAAAACTGTTTTTTGTGAACTTTTGTGACACCATTTTGAAAATGAAGCCGTAACATTCCGCCGGGGTAAAGTAGTTCATTCAATTGACAACAAAATTTATCACTAGAAGACCTAAAACGTGAAACCCAATTTTTTGTATTGCAAAGTTAAACCCCCGTTTTTCTTGAAACGGGTGCTTCCAGCAATGTAATACCTAAGAAATAACATACTGCAAGTAACAAAAATATTGTTGTCATTATTTGCCCACCCTGTATTTGTTTGTAACGAAATAGAATTAAATGAACATTTTGTAAATTTTAACTTACGGGATCTTTAAATACGATTCCTCCCAGAACTTTCCTATCGATTTCACCATTTTGTGCCAAAACGACTTCCCCAAAATGCTCGACGATCAATTTATAACATGGCTTTCCAGGTTTGTAAGACTCGTGACCGACAACATCACAATTGATGATGTGCGCCCCAAATTCCGTCACCCATCTTGCTACTCCGGATTTACCACTGGCGATACCACCTTAAACGCAAGCTGTAATAAAATAATTACCAGTTATAAAAAAATTACACGAATACCTGTTAGTCCTATCACATAGGGAGTTTTGGGAATGTTGATATTAGGCTGTATCGGTCTTAAAAGTGTTCCTAGTAGTCTCATTCTGGTAGTGCTAGAGCTAATTTTTGCTTCTTCGTTACTACCCGGATTCGGCTCGTCTATCAACTCCACCGGCACTATTTTCAGAGGGCTCAAGTTTTTTTCAAGCCTTACTATAAAAGAGTATTTTATATCAGACAATACAGTGTCAAGAAAACTTCCAGGTGCAAAATAATAGAGGCGTATCATTTTAGAGGGATCAAAAAATTGTTAAACCTCGAAAAATTATGTTGATTTTAGAAGAATTTTTAACACACGACATCATTTCTGCTGATAAAAGACTACACATTTCTATAGCACTGCTCACCAACATATCCACGTTTAATGCTCGAATTCCCTTATACTTATTGGAATAATTAAAACGCGAACATTATAATATGTCATTCTCACTTATATGCTTATGACAAGCACTGACATATCTCAGCTTGAAACCGAGATACAGCCTTAGTCGTCTCTGTTTCTGTCCGCGATAAACAACAATAAAACAGACGCTTATAACAATAGAATATTCCAAATTGTTTCATCATTTTAAAAAGTAGTAAAATTTGTTGTTTAATTTATTTATTGTTCACTACCTACTATTTTGAATCTGGAAATATCACACTAATATTTTAGATATCTTACTTTCATTTATTTTCTCTCCCCCTCTAACTGTCTCCTTACTCACTACAATAAGTTCCATGGTAGGATCGACGATAGCGGGGCCGAATGGATCGGAAATGGGTACTACACTGTATTCCAATTCGGGACAAATATCATTTAAAAAATCCGTTACGTTTTTCACCCTAACTTCTATATCTTCGATTAACTCCCACAAAATCTTACTCTGGAGCATGTTCTCATCTGTAACTCCCACAGTGACTTTTTCGGTGGCTCTAAGTGCCGCCTCGCTTAAGAGAAGCTTATGAGCGACATGTAACCTATCAAATGTTCCTCCTAGTACAGTGTGCTTATATGTAGTCTCGTTACCATCAGTTACGTCGTTTGAAGTTTCTAGTTCATCGGAATTTATTGTTAACACACTATATTCTTTCGTGATGTTCTGGATTTTTGCTTGGATGAAGTTATCTATGTCGCTTTGGCTGTGTATTTTATCGAAAACCACCAAATCGATGGGACTTTGTGTATTGATTTTGGGAATGTTGTATTTAATACCAGAAAGGAGTACTTTTACGTCTAAGTGGTAGCAGTATGCCGCTGCCTAGAAAATTCTTTATTATAGACAAGTCAAGAAAAAATCCAAGCAGTTACCTGGGAATAAATGTTGTATATAGTTTTACTGAGTTTAGGCCACGTGCTATAAAGTTTTGGTTGGACACTACCAAAAGGTTCACCAAGTGCCGACAAAAGTTGGATGTAAATTGTGTTTTTCACTTGTTTTTGTACTCGTGAAAGTACCTTTCCAATTTGCTGGGGATTAGAAACTACCAGTAAAACTGTTTTTGCTAGCATTTTGTATTAAGTCACTTTTATGGAAAATTTTATTGGACATGAAGATAAGAAACTGAAAATGACATTTTGAGTTTTGAGGTTATAATAAATGTCAGAGGGTGGGAGTGAAGAGTGACGTCAATGCGAGTACTCAAATTTCTTATTGATAAATTCGGTTTGTGATTTACAAATTGTAATGTAATTGTATCCATATTCCATATCCTAAAAACAATTAACAATTAAGTGCATTATGCATTTATTTCTTTCCCAAATTTTAGTCATACAACACATACCAAATATGTAAATAATAATTATATTACTTGGAATTTGGACTTTGTGTTTTTTGCATTTTAAATTACACACTTGAACTCTGTACTCTATTACCCTATGGTTTATAATTTTAATTTACTTTGCAAAATTCGTTAAAATATGGTACTAAAATATTACTTCGATTTGTTGTCTCAACCGTCGAGATCAATATACATTTTGTTAAAGTTAAACGACATTCCTTTTGAAGCCCATCCTGTAGCGTTGAGAGAAGGTATCGATTTTTAACAACTTTTACAACTTTTGAAAATCTAAATTCTAGGGGAACATCTCACTGAGGAATTCAAAGAAAAGCTTAGTAAATTCCAAAAAGTACCTTTTATCCATGATGGTGATTTTAAATTAACTGAATCGTAAGTATTTATTTTGTATGTATTATCTTTTAAAAGTTAATAGTAAAAATAATTTTTGAAATATTTTAGTGTGGGTATTGCTCGTTACTTATCTCGAGAATATCCAATAAAGGACCACTGGTATCCAAAAAATAGTAAGAGGCAAGCTAAAATTGATGAATATTTGGAATGGCATCACTTAGGTATCAGATTTCACTGTTCATCATATTTCATAGCAAAAGTAAGTTAAACGATATTTTCTGAAATAGGTAATTGTTATACGTACATTTCAAGATTTATTCAGTATTTAAATTTTCGGGCTTCAAAATTTCTCATTGAATTTTCAGTGGGTAAATCCAATGTTAACTGGAAGACAACCAAAAACTGCAAAATTAGAACTCTTAAAAAATAATATGAACGATTCTTTGGACAAGTTTGAGGAACTGTTTCTGTCGGACGGACCATTTATTAGTGGAAATGAAATTTCCTTCGGCGACGTTCAAGCAGCTTGCGAAATAGAACAACCAAGTAAGTGTTGTGGTTTCAAATAAATATATTACATCGATTCATTTATTGCAGGGATGGCAGGATTTGACCCAACAGAGAATCGTCCAAAATTGAAAACGTGGTTAGAAAGAGTGAGGAAGGAGTGTAATCCTTATTATAACGAGGCTCATGCTATTGTCAATAAGATAGCTGATAAAAACAAGCAGAAAATTCAAGCGAAACTGTAAAATTAAAAAAAAGTGCAAAGAGAAATATTTGTGGTGGTGTATTTTAATCTTTATTCCTATCCTTATGTAATGTTTTATATTAAACAGTAATTTGTGTATTCATCTTTGGAAACATTAATGAGTTTTGCATTTTTCCTACTGTCACTATTTACTAAAGACAAAGACGATGTCATTTGAGAATTTTGAGATATATAACCTACAAAGACAAGGACTACAAGACTACATTTTTAAATATCATTGCTACTTTATGTCTACTAGTAGCACATCACATGCACCTACCGGGATAATGACCTACTAATCTGCAAAACCAATCGTGACTATAATAATACATTCCTACATTATTTAAATAAAAGGGTATTTATTGTGATGAGAACGATCTAAGCTATTTAAACAGTATTTAATTATTTACTAGATACTGAACGACTGGAGCATATATGCAATATGCAATTATTTTTATATGGAAGCATTGGAATTTGGACATTGGACTTGTTTGTAATGCAATTTAATTTTTTGTAAATATATCTTCTATCTAACGAAAAGTTCATTGTGACTAAAGAATTATGGTTTTAAAATATTATTTTGATTTAATGTCGCAGCCCTCTAGAGCATTATACATTTTCTTAAAATTAACAAATATCCCATTTGAAGCTTGTCCTGTAGCTTTAAGAAAAGGTATTAATTTAATCTTTAAACTCGCAAAGTACTTACAAATCTTACATTTCAGGGGAACACTTAAGCGAGGAATTTAAAAAGAACTTTAGCAAATTTCAAAAGGTGCCTTTCATTCATCATGGCAATTTTAGACTAACCGAATCGTAAGTTTTTACCCAGTATTTACCTAATGTTTGTTAAAATATAATCTTAATTCTATCATTTCTCTAGTGTTTGTATTTTTCGTTATTTGACTCGAGAATATCCAGTTAAAGATAATTGGTATCCAAAAGATAGCAAACAACAGGCTAAGATCGATGAGTATTTGGAATGGCAGCACTTAAATACAAGAGCACATTGCACTTTATATTTCCGATACAAAGTAAGGCAATTCTAACGCTTAATCTTCAAAGTTAATCATATATCTATTTTTTTTACTATTTTTATTACTCAAGATCGCTGATGCTTGTATTTCAGTGGTTGCAACCGATGTTAACTGGGGAGAAACCTGATCCAGAAAAATTAAAATTTTTGGAAAGTAACATGATAGACACGTTGGATAAATTTCAAGAGTTGTTTATATCAGAGACACCTTTCATCAATGGACAAACAATATCTTTTGCTGATATACTGGCAGCTTGTGAAATAGTGCAACCTAGTAAGTGCTTAATTTATTTTGTATTTTTCAATTTTTTATTGTATCCGTAAATCAATAAACTCATAGGGGAACTGCTATGGTGTTCAACCATTTTTTGACCTTAAGCCTTAACAATCTCAGAAATTTATCTGTTTTGAGGTCAACGAATATCTTCGGAGTACAGGAATAAACGAGATTTTTTTAAATTTTTTGTGGCTGAAAATTCAAAATCAAAGAATTCTAATAAAGTGGTTGATGCTTTTTTATTTCTGCTTGAATTTTGGTCGGGTAACTGGTGCAGTGACCCTACTCTAGAACGTTTCGTACTGAAATTTAGTATTTATTGAATTTTAGGGATTGCCGGATACGACTCCAGAGAGAATCGTCCAAAATTGAAAGAGTGGATTGAGAAAGTGCGAAATGAGTGTAACCCTTACTATCACGAGGCACACGAATTCGTCAACAAAATGATCGAGAAAAATAAACAGAGAGTTCAAACTAAACTTTAAATATATCCGTTTTTTTTTTTTAAATGTGATCTTTATTAGAGTCGTCAATATCAACGATTTTAGTAGGAGTAAGATCAGTAATAAATTGAAAAGAATATTTTTAATTCTTCGTGACGTTTCGGTGTTTGTTTCTTCTGCAATTTTCTATCTTCCAAAGAATCTATCCCAAAGATGCAGCTTCGGCTTCTAGTGGAATTGAATCGAAAATCAGAAAATTTGTTATTTACCAAATTGTCCATGACGGCCAACACTGACAACCAAGACTTGATTTTTTAAAATATCTTCAAGTTTGTTGAACAAAAACGTATGACTCATCGAGAGCAAAATGCCGTTATAAGTATGTGAGAATTTACCACACGGAAACGTTCGTGCAGCAAACATCCTTATAATGCTAATAATGACTTATTTTACTCACTTGCGATATAATTTACTATTTCACTTAATTTTTTTATGGCATTGCGACAGGATATATTTCAAATCTATTCAATGTTATCTTTAATAATTTTAATATGATATTGCTGGTATATTCAATGCATATGCTAGTCAAGGCATATAGTCCGCAGAGTAGTCATTTTTGTTCACGTCATTTTTTCACCATTTTTGGCTGCTTTGTAGGTTTTCGGCATTTAGCAGTGACTACTAGATGTGACAATTAGTTACATTTTTGACTTAATTTAAAAATGTTCGAATGTTTTAGAACCCTGAAGATGGTGCAAAACAATACTGAAATGTCAGCGAAAAATTGAAAATTTTGTTTTTAAATTTACTAATCTAACTAAAACTGTTGCCGTCGATTACTTGAAATATACAGGGTGATTCAGAAAAAACATTTTGAATGTACAGGGAACTCTTACAAATAAAATTTTGTAAAAAAAAATCAAAAGCAGTTCAAAAATTATTTAAAAATATACTTTTGCACAGCATGGGAAACTGGTTTCTGCACAAGGCAAAGCATGTAGTCGGCGTATGACAGGCGGCACAGTGTGATAAAAAATGAACGGACAAAATACTGAAAGAATTTCATTCACAAGAAATAAATAAAATTTTATAACACCTGTTTTATATCAACAAATTCCACTGTTTTTGCCACTATTGCTATTATTAATTAATAAAATTAATTTGTGGTTTTAATTAATAAAATAATTTAACATACCTGATGTTACAACTGTTGAAAATTTTGTCCACCTACGTGTAAACATATTTAGACCCGTCATACCCAATTTCTACGAACTAACACAGATGTTGTCTTGCTTCATCATAAATTAAAACAATAAATTCCGAGCTGCTATTCAGATTAAGCCATTTTTGAAACTTGAAAAACTAATGTAAACACTATCGCAAAAACGTTACTACTAAAATCGGATTATTTGGAAACGTCTAGGGACGCGTGGAGAGAGCGAATTGCATACAGTGCATAACACGAACGACACTAGAAACTAAAGTAGCCCAGTGATGTAAGGGTTTTAAATACTACAACTCCAATAATTTTTTTCTCGGAAACTATAAGGATATTACAATATCGACTATTTCTCATGCTGCATCTATTCCCAATTTTGTTTGGATAAGTTGTGAATCGCCCTGTATAATTCTTCCTCGACTTATACAAGGTTCTCATTTATTTTTATGATGTGCTTATCGCCTGAAATATTTTTTCTTTGTATCTGCTTAGGTCTGCGGTTTTATATTTGATGAAAATCTAAATAAACGCAATGTATATCTCGGGGACTTTTATTAAAAAAAGTACAAAAACCATAAACTGAACAACAATAAATTATTTAAAATCAACAATAAAAATACTTATCACGCGGCAAAGGTAATTTTTCCTGTTTCCAATGAAAACACAACTTCCAAAACACTATAAAATACTCCTCCCTTCGGCCAAGGTATTGACGTAGTTCTTGAACAACCCCCTGATTCCGTTAGTGTTGTGCATCGTCAGGAACGTCAGAAAAGAAATCGGGGGGTGGTGGTTGACAATTTGATATCCGGTGACGAACTTGTAGAACCCGTAAAAGTCTTTCGGTACGTAACGTTGCACCTTCTCCACTTCTTCCACGTACTGTTCCGGATCCGACAAGAAATCTTCACTGGAAAAAACTACGTCTTTAGAAAGAGTTATCACCTCGCCTTTTCCCGACGTTTCGTAGTGCCCCGTGGGACTTCCAAGGCTGGCCGGGCCCTCGCCGCGACTCCTGATCTGTTTCAGGAGATCGCTCGCCACCGTACTGCCCTCGCCCAGGTTCAAGTTGCTAATGAACAGTTCCATTTGTTTGTCGTCGAAGTAGCGCACGAAACTGTTAGACTCCCGGATGTAACACAACTTCCCCTTGGGTATCTTCTTGAAAATGCTTTTCTTGATCCTGTACGGCTTCGAATCGATTTTTATCTCGCAGAGGGGCTCTTCGGGTGAAAATTTGGAACAGTAGTCACTACCGGCACTACTTAAGGCTTCCGCCGATTGTCTCCCGCTTAAAGTGCTGCTTTCCATAGACTGAGATCTTTCGAAGTTGAACACCCCTTTCCTTTGCTCCTCGGAGAACCAGTGGCCCCAGTTCATGTTGGACTCGTTAAGAGGGGGAGGACCGGGAAGTCTAGGAGACACCTGCCTTACCGCCGGTGACGTCCGATCAATCGCTAGTTTCGGAATCACTGGAACAGGGGACATTCGAACTGCTGGCGACTTTGAAGGCACCGGGGACGTTTGAACTACCGGAACGGCTGCTGGCGCTTGCGCGATTGGTGGCCTTGGAACCATGTGGGACATTTGAACTACCGCCGATGGCGCATTAGTAGGTCTGGGTGGAGACTTAAAATTCGGAGAAAATTTGGGAGATCGTATCGGACTTACGTCCTCTGCTGCAACCTGATAACCGGTGCCCGGTGAAAACCTTCTGACGTCCATGTTACTCGGATATTTCAGTTCCGAATTTTTCACTTTTAAGCTGCACGTCAGAGTGTCGGAATCTTCTTTGAACTGAACCAGGTTCGCCAAAGGTTCTTTTCTATTTGCTGGGTTATCTTCCGCTGGTGGTTTCCTGAGGTTTCGTGGCGGCATCACAGGTCTCGTATATACCGGAGGTTTTTCAAATAGGTGTCGGTTCGCGTCTTGAATGGCTTTTACGTTGCCTTCGATCAATGTGCAATGGCTAACTTCCATCGTCTGGAGAATTTTTCTCGGGTCGCCAGGAACTTTGTTGTCGTATGTGCTATAGAGGCGGAAGGGTTCTAGGACTTCCTCCTCGGAAGATATGTCTTCGATCATAGGCGGTACAGGCTTTACGTTAGATCGTTCACCGGAAACGGTGGGTTTATTCGATTTATCCTTGTTTATCGAAGTATTAGAAGCGACGACTGAATTAATGGCGTCCGTGATTGGTTTTCGAGAGAATTTTTCGGTTTTAGTAACATCATTCTGATTGCAGTCCAACTTTTTTAGTTCTTTAATTTTTTCTTCGTCTTCAATGACTACAATATCACCACCAGTCATTTCTTTCGGTGACGGCCACCGTTTTACCAGTTTCCTTTGCTGTCTTTCATCATGGGCGGTCTTTCTTTTTAGGGTGGCCAACTTGATTAGTTTCGGTGGCACGTCATACTCGTCCGTTATTTTCTCTATCGACACATCTAAAAATAAATTAAAAAATATGTTAAATTTTAATCGTAATTATGCACAACGGAAAACGAAAAACATTTTTTTAAACTCGCTAGAACACTACTTACCCGTTACTAAACTCAGCCTTTCCTGGTAGTTCCCGCCGTCCGTAATCACCTTCGGTGGTCCTTCGCCGCGGCTGGTGGTGTACGAAATGCCGTGCTTTAAATCGCCCGTTGGGCTCACCTTTTCCAAAACCACATCATCCAAATCCATCGTGTTGGTTACGGCACTGGACGATACGGCCCCTTTCGATATCTCCATCGACTTGTCCTTGATGATAACGGTGTTCGCGATAACTTCGGGCACGTCGTTAGGCTTGGCCGCTTTCGCTTTGCTCGAACACCAAGATTCCTCTCGTTTGTCATAGCCGCTTTGTTTCTCTACCGTTTCCGAATCTGCTGTTCTACTTGCTTGTTTCGTATTAGGAATGTGGTTTTTGTAAACGTTTGTTTCGAAATTCGAACCCTTTCCGTGGAATTGCTCTATATTTACCACTTTTTCGCCGATATTACTAACCGCGGTGCCACTTCCATCGTACGTATTTGTCGGCGGTTTTAAATTCTTTAAAACAGGCTCGCAAATTACGCTGGTAGCCTGATATTTATTAACTATAATATTCGTTTGTAGGTACTGCTCCACGTCTGAACCCGTGCACTGTTTCGTAATAATTCTGGGGGTATTTTTGGTCTTAAACTCCCCAATTTGTTCTTTGCATTGCACGATTTCATTGCCGACAATTACGGTGTTACCGCCACTCGTCGGCGCCTCTACATTGGCAGGAAAATGTTTCGATCCAGTTTCTGCATAATTTCGAATGTTGTTCCTCGGTATTCTTGCATTTTTGTCGTAATTTGCCGTGGCTTGTTGCGCATACATCAAACTGTTCCTGAAATAGTTGTCGTTTTCACCGTTCACGGTTTTATGAACTTCGCGGGTCCCGGTCATAATTCGAAAATTATTACCGCTGAATACGTTTACTCCATTTTCAATCGCCTGATTTGGAATCATCGCTCCTTCTGATAACCGTCTATTTTCGAGGACCTGTTGCCTGTTTCTGGTGTGTGCGCTCTCTTCGATCATGTCGCTGTGTCTGCGTATCGCCCTTCTGGCGTCTGAGACATTGCTGTTTGGAATGTTTACGGTTTTTTCTCTGTGGTTAAAGATTTGGTTTTCTTCGGGTGTCCCCCTATGCTTGACCGTTTGAGGTATAACCGTCAAATCTAACGAGTTATCGGATAATTTTGGCATTTTGTTTATTCTGCTTGAATTCCTCGGTCGGCCCTTGGACCTAGGTTGTTGGAGCGGTGCATTCAACAACACTTTAGGGTGGATGTGGGACATGTTTGGCGGAATACACCTACAAAAACAAAAATACACGTATTTATTAGGATGGGTCAAAAAAATCGACTATTTTTTTTTACTTTATACTCTGAAAAATAGGTTGCTAGACACCTCTAGAAAATTCTCTCCAAATATGAGCTCTAAATTTTAATAGGAAGGTTCTCCGCTTTACAGTTTTCCATTTTTTCCGCAGTATTAGAAAAAAAAATTCATATCTCTCTATCAACTGTTCGTTAAAAATATCTCTCCTCATATACGCTCTACAAAAAAGGTCTCTTACAATTTTTTTGTAAACCTCACCGGTTAAAAGATATTAAAGGTTGAAGTTTGATTATTTTAAGACAAATTTCTGTTTTGCTTATGAATTTTATAACTCGTTTACAAAAAATCATTATAAAATGCGCAATTCATAGTTTTGTAGGAAATTAACTAGTCTACAAAAATGGTCTCTTATGATTAGTCGATTAAATAAAGCGTTTAAAAGATATTCATCGTCAAACTTCAATGCACGCCAATTTTAACAGTTTTTGATTAATAATTCTCAAAAATTTCAATTTAGTTTATGAGTTTCTGGGAAATTTATACAAATTTTATATTATTTATAAAGAAAATTTTTTACAGTGTGTGTAGTGTACGAATATTTTATAAATGTTTGAAATTTTATAACACTTGATAATTAAATAAAAAAACTATTTAATAACAAATTGAAAATTTTTTTCTATAAGATTAATACTTTTCATAATAAATTTCTGACAAAAATGTTATATTTTCAAGATTTAATGAATTATTGACTCTCAGTCAGAAATAATGCACTAATTTTTTTTCGATGTAACCAAACATGCTTACGACTAAAAAAAAAACTAGAAAAATTAGATTTTTACATGCCAAAATTTAATTGGGTAAACAGACACGTAAAAATTTGGAAAAATTCAATAGAATTTAATGAACCACTGAATGTTAGGGTTTCATTTCCAAAATGGCGTCCAAAGTTCGCAAAAATGTTTTTTTTCATTAAAAGAAAAATTAAACATTTAAAAAAAATGTTTAAACAAAAGTTGTAAAACTTTTTATAACAAAAATTTTGAGCTCAGCCCGATGTCAATTGATAAATAAATTTATTAGTTATCGCAAAAAAATGGCTAAAAATCTGACTTTTTTTAAAACTTCTATATCTTTAAAACGAAAAAAGATTTTTTTACGATACTCTCAGACTATATAGTCCTTGGCAAGTAGAATAAGTGCATTTTTGTAAAATTGCAAAATATTTCATAGTTTTTGCAAAAACTGAGTTTTTCGAGAAAAAGACATATTTTTCAAGTTTCAATAAATCATACAGTAATGCACTTACGTGACTAATCTTAAACTTAAAATTTTCTCCAAGAGTTGTACTGTCCTGTGCAAATTATACACGTATTGCGAAATAATTGGGGATATGCGAAAAATCTACCGAAACTTTGACTTCTTTTTTCGGGTCGAAAAATGTAATCTTTTTCCTATCTTTGAAATTTAATCGGAATGGCATTGTTGCCATTTGAAAACTGACATTTTTTCTATGACCAACAGGAGCTGAGAAAAATTTTTTTGAAATTTACACATGTAGTTGAATACTTTTACTTCAATATAAAAAATAGTCTGCAATGACTGACCTCCTTTTTGTATAGTAAACTTAATTAAAACGTGCATCAACATCTCGAACGGAGCAAGCATTTTACGGGGCCCAACAAAATTTAGTTTACTGTAAAAAAAAGGGGGTCAATGATTGCAGACTATTTTTTACACTGAAGTAAAAGTATTCAAATGTAATACAGGGTTTTCCTAAATATCATGTACATAAGGGATGGGGTAATTCTTTGGCTTATTTCATGACTAAAAGTTCATATAAACATAGGTCCGCAAACGCTTCGTTACCGATCTACAGGGTGTTGAAATTTAAAATTTTTTTTAGTTTTTTCTCTATAGCTCCCACAGTTTTTGAGATATTTAGCTCAAATTTGGAATATAGGTTACGCTGTAGGGCTTGCATCATTGGACATGCCAAATGGTCGTGATATTCTACAGAGTGATATTTTTTCGAGGTTCATGCCCCATTTTCATCCCCTGAACTTTTGTGCGGTACGCCGCTGGTAGATTCTAAAATCAAAATTGGATTTTATGTTTTGTTGAGAAACTTTTTTGCCTCTTATGATTTTTTCGTATCTGCGACAGTTATCGAGAAAAAAAAATAAAAAACGATTTTATGTAATTCGTTAGATGAAATTTAAATTCTTAAAATGGTCCAGTAGGCTCTGGCTTTATTTAGATAATCTCTTGTTTCTATTAATTCTGACAGTCTATTCGCCACTACCTGTTAAAAATTAAAGCTGGGATGACCCATTTCAAAATTCTTAAAATTTGGCATTGTTATGAGATTATAATGAATAAACTTTTAATTTTTAAATATATGCAGACACAAGTTACTATTTCAAATGCGAACTGTCAAAATTAATAGAAACGAGAGATTATCTAAATAAAGCCAGAGCCTACTGGACCATTTCAAGAATTTAAATTTCATCTAACATAAAATCGTTTTTTATTTTTTTCTCGATAACGGTCGCAGGTACGAAAAAATCATAAGAGGCAAAAAAGTTTCTCAGCAAAACATAAAATTCAATTTTGAATTTAGAATCTACCAGCGGCGCACCGCACAAAAGTTCAGGGGAAGAAAAGGGGGCATGAGCCCCGAAAAAATATCACTCTGTAGAATATCACGGCCATTTGGCATGCCCAATGATGTAAACTCTACAGCGTAACCTATATTCCAAATTTCAGCTAAATATCTCAAAAACTGTGGGAGCTATAGAGAAAAAACTAAACAAATCTTAAAATTTCAACACCCTGTAGATCGGTAACGAAGGGTTTGCGGACGTATGTTTTTTTTCTTATGTACATGATATTTAGGAACACCCTGTATATGTTTATTTCAGACCTTAATATTAATATATGAGGTTCTAGTGATTTTTCCTGTTGGTCGTAAGACATTTTTTTTTAATTTATGAAAAAATTTCAGCTTTCCAATGGTAATAATGCTATTCCGATTAAATTTCAATGATAATAAAAAGATCTACATTTTTCGACCTGAAAAAAGAAGTCAAAAAGTTTGGGTAGATTTTTCCAATTATTTTGCAATATGCACACAATTTGCACAGAAAAGTACACTTAGAGAAAATTTTAAGCCCAAGATAGGTCACGTATGTGCATTACTGTATGATTTATTGAAACTTGAAAAAAATATGTATTTTTTTTCGAAAAACTCAATTTTTGCAAAAACTATCAAATATTTTGCAATTTTACGAAAATGGACTTATTCTATTTGCGAAGGACTACATATTCTGAGTTTCGTAAAAAAATCTTTTTTCGTTTTGCAGATATAAGTTTAAAAAAATGTGATTATTAGTTTTTTTACTTTTTTTGCAGGTTGAAAATTTTTGTTATACAAAGTTCTAGAACTTTTGTCTAAAACATGTTTTTCTAAATTTTTTAAACGAAGAAAACCTGTTTTTTACGAATTTTGGACGCCATTATGAAAATGAAACCCTAACGTTCAGCGGGTAAAAGTAGTTCATTCGATTCTACGGAATTTTCCCAAATTTTTACGTATCTGTACTTACCAAACTAAATTTTACTAAAAAAACAAGGTACTTTCGACAATTTAACTGGCCTATCAATCAAGTGGAACATTTTAGAGACTACGGAAATACTAACCTATTATCCGCCAAGTACAAGTCCGGTCCCATCATCACCAAGTTGGGCTCATTGAAATTTTCCGGCACCCTCATAGTCGCCAACAAATGCTTGTCCGACTCCTGATCGCCTTGCCGCCTGCTCCTTCTGTGAGACTGATTCTTCGGAAACTCCATGTTGGGCATCGCCACGTTGCCGTGTTGGTAAACCTGATTTTCCATCCAAAAACGATTAGGTGGATAATCTCTGAACTCAGACGACTGGTTCTGATTTGGAAAGAACGGATGGGGAGGAGGCGGAGCGGGGCGAACGTTGGGGAAATCGCCGAAGGGCCTCCTGACGTTCCTCGGAAGGGGCATCACAAAATCCTCCTGCGGATTATGCGACAACACCTTCAGGAGGTGGTCCGTGAAGTACTCGTACTTAATCTTCTGCTGGATTACGTCGAGGGAATGGATGAGGAAATCCATGTGCGGCCTCAGATCCAGCTGCAGCATCTTGTGGACAAAGTCTCTAGCCCTGGAATTCCGAGGCGTGCGGAATAGATTCACCAGGAGGTAGGATATGAGCACGTTCAAGGCTTCCTCTATGCACGCTTTCATTTTCACCGACACGGTAGGCAGCAGCAGGTACCGGCTCAAGTCGATGTACAACCGATTCAAAACGGGTAACGATAGAATGTTAAACGCCGACTCCACGGACGATTTCACTATGTTTATGAGGCTCATTATGGCGGAATCCAACATCTCCAATGGGGACTGCTGCGCCTCCGGGGGTCCCGGCAGGGTCACGTTCGGCTTCTCCATCCTCGACATCTGCTGCTGAATGTGGGGGAAGTTGATCACGATGACGTTGCTCTGCTTCTGCGGGTCCAAAGCGGCGCTGGGGATGGCTGTGACAAAGAAGCAGTTCCCGTCCTTGTCGACGTGTCGCGAGTCCAAGTTTTCGCTTATGACCGTTTTCTGGTCCGCGTGAGTCCTAGGGACGTTGCTGTCGTGAAAGTGGGCGGGCTTTGTCGGTACGTTGCTCGGCTGCTTCAGTATCGTGTGGGTTAGGTGTTGATTGTTATTCAGTTCGTTTCGTTTCGGGTGGTGGATATTGAAAAGGTCCGTCCACGAGGGCCGATCTTGTTTTTTTAGAGATAGATTGATGGGGGTGCAATCGGGTACGTCCAGTTCTGAAGCGGTCGGGTTCTGTACGCGTGCTTCTGTAATATCTTGAGTTTTGCTACTTTCTTGCGATTCTTCCAGCGGTTTTTGCTTAACGGTAGGCTTTTTACTGATTGTCTCAACTGGAGGACTTATGTCGGGTCCGTCGTTTTCTGCAAATTCATAAACAGACTTTGAACATGCTTCATTTGAATTGTTATTCTTCTCGATTTCATTATTACTTTTGCTGCTGTTCTCCGGCAATGACTTTACCCTATTCTTCCTGCGTTCGGGCAATTCAGGTACAATGGCAGGCAAGATGTGTCTACCGTTACCTGAATTCTTAGTCTCCCGGTTGTTACTATTCGAGGAGGTGGAGATCTCATTGTTAAGCGAGACGGATCGCCACAGGGACCCTTCTTTTTTCTTGCCGCCCTCGATTGTGTTTATAATGGATTCAGTTAAGGACCCTTTCGAAGGATTTTTGTCGCACTTCTTTAAACCGCCATTCTGGTAGCACATCTGGAGGTTTTTCTCGGCACAAACATTGTACGGTTCCTTCGTCTTGCACAACGACGTCGGAATACCTAGAAGTTGACATATCGTTGGAAAAATAGAGCAAGTTTTATGCGTGTTTAGTTAGAAAATTATTACAATGTATGAACCGCTTCGTCGTGATATTGCTTTGTGTGTAAATATTAGCAGTGCAAACAGGGTTTATAGATTAGAATGCAGATTACTGGTGGCTTTGTTCCATTAAAATCACTTATGACTACGATAAAAATTTTTGTCTCCATAAAAACGCATGTGGCTGTTTCGATTGGATCTATTAGAAAACATGTTTACAAGGAAAAACACCGTTTTCCTCTTTGCAATATCGAAGCGGTTAATCCAATTTCACTGTAAAAACTGTGGAGGCAGACAAACAATATTTATCAATAAATCTAAATTTTACTGACTTATTATCGTAGAATTACAGCCATCACGAGGTACACCTTGTTTATTTATAGTCGTTTATCATTTATCTGTTCGACAAGCCTACGATTGGAAAGAGGCAAATGACATTTCTATTCTTTTATGGTCATATCTAGCCCATAATGTTGTACAGGGTGTAACTTTATGTGAGGCTCAGCTTTTTATCTTTTATGAGAACACTAACCTGAAATTATTTATTTTTTCAATCAAATACATGGTTCCAAGTTATAATTCAATTTTTCAAATGCACTTGTCTATACCGGCAACTGCTTTTCTTTATACTCCAGTCGAATTAGAGTTTGAACGTAAAAAAAATATTAGTAGACATTTTATTGCACTTTATTACGGGGAAGGGTATGTAGAATGATAATATCAAAAAAGTAACTCGAAAGAACTGACGCTAAGTTGGCAAATTGCAAATAAGTGGCAAATTTACATCCAAAGACCAACATGTGTGCTAAAAACCGATACGATTGACTGTCAAATTGTTAGTCAATTTTTTTTTGCAACTAATTGTTTAATCACTAAACGTTAATTTTAGAAGTTAATATCGTAGATATAGATTCTAATTGATCCAAAGAAACGTATCGAAAAAAAAATTTTTAAAGTTGAAATTATGTAGCCCTTTACAACAAAGTAGGATGTTCAAAACAGCGTTATAAACAAATTGTTCCAAGGTCAGCCAAAAGCCGCTCGGGAATTCGCTCTTTTTGCATTAAATATATTTCCGCGTTCAACCTTTATTTTGCAGTTAACAAATTAGTGAAAAATTACTCTAGGTACCTTAGATTGTAGATAATTTAATTGCCTACAACATAAAAAGACTAATATTCTGATAGGTCGTGTAGATTTTTGTGGGCAGTAAAAAAGTGAAAAAACACGTAAATTTGTCACTTATTTCCAATTTGCCAACTTAGCGTCACTTCTTTGGAGTTACTTTTTAGATATTTATGATTCTATACATCCTTCCCCATCATAAAGTGCAATGAAATGTCTACTAATAATTTTATGATCTTGTTCGACTGGAGTATTAGTTTTCAATTTATTTTTACAAGATGTTTGTAATGCGGTAGATAATGTCGCTACTTTCTCTGTGGAGTTTCAGTTTTTACTTGAATTGAAATAGAATTTGCGTAGTGCAGTATTATGTTTTAAGATTAATTTCATAGTAAAATTTAAAGTAAGTATTTACCGTAGTGTCAGTGTATAACCTTATCAAGTTCTGGCGTATAATGACGGTATGGTGTGTTTGTGTGTCTTCACTCTTAAATGTCTATGTGATATTAAAATTTCACTTTGTATATTGAGGAAATGATTTCATTAATTTAAAGCAGACAAAGGTATCTGGACAGTCTTAATTTCTGAGAACTGATGTCAGCTCTGCTTTGTACTAGATAGTATAAAGCATGCATCATAAGTTAATTGTTCCAAGAAAAAAAACGATGACAGTTGTGGAACGTAAGCTGTACAGGAAACCTCAAATTCCTGTGGAGACACTAAAAAAAGCAGATGCATTTATGCACGGAACAAAAATAATTTTGCATTTTTTTTTAATAACACGGAACATTAACTTTTCGAATATTCATTTAAACCCTGTCATATGTCCAGATGATTTATCACCCATTAGAATTAATCCTCTCTGTCAGATGAGGAGCGAGATAGCAATTAATTTAACTTGATTTTCTGAATGGATTTACTTACGGCTTAGAACAAAAAATTCGAAGACAGTAAGTAAATTTTATTTATAAAGAAGAACTCGTGCTGTAATGATTTATAATTGTGTTAGAAGCTAAAAAATAAAATTTGAAAGTAAATTCATAGATATTTAAAAAAAAAATAATGTTTTTCCAATCCTACGATTACGTAAGGATGAATAAATAGATCAACGACAAACATAATAATTGGACACCCTGTACCAGAAATATTTATCACTGGTGGGAAGATAGTCAACACAATAATTGGATATTAGAACACCTCAGCATGTTTTTTATAATCTTATCTGTTCCACTGATAAACATTACACTTTTACAGCCAGGCAATAAAAATTTACGATAACAAATAACAGATAAGATTAAAGTGTTTATAGAGATTATATAACCTCAACATGGGCTCTAGCTTCCTCTCCGTGTCCCATAAAATGATTTTCCCAATAGATTAGATGAAGTCCGAGAAAATTTATAACCCAATCACTGATATTGCTATTTCCTTTTTGATAATCAATAATTGCAAGTTTTAATGAAAAGTATTTGGAACAATTTTTTTTTTAAAGCACTGTGTTTAGTCTGTGAATCTCAGTGTCAATGACATTGAACTAGTTAAGCTACCGATACCGATCCACCTGATGTGATATGACAACAAGTTTGTAATATGTGTCTAAAGCTTAAAGGTACCCCCTGTATAAATAAAACCCCCAATTAATGTTACACCGAGTATACCAAAATCATGGCCATAGTAAAAGTTTGTTTTCTGAAAACATATACAAATATTAACAGGATTATCGACTCATAAGTACACTGAACCTTTATCAATAATTCAAATAATGTTGGTTTTATACTCACTGCTTCCAAGCTTGAACAGCTCCATGCTCTGGTGTCTGAACTGGCTCCGGCATACCGCCCTTTTCCTGGCAACCTTTTGCACCACCTCGTCCCTCTTTTTATCCTGCTGACAGCTCTCCCGCGACTGCACGCTAGAAGCGGGGCTCAGGGGCGATTCTATGCTATCGTCGTCCTCCTCGGTTGTGGTGCAGGGCGACGATAGCCCGCTGGGTTTCTCGTGCTGGTGGATGAGTCGTTTCTTGTAGTGCTCCATGCCGGTCATGTCTAGTGGGACATCCTCGGGAGTCAGTTTGGTGTGCGAGTTGTGATCGATACCTGCAAAATCATCTTTGTTATTCGTGGCGAACGTACACGGTTTCCAACAAAAGGTATCACAAATTCAGGATGTGAAAGAACGTAAAAAAGTAAGAGAAATTTTTCTTCTGATGTATCGTTTTTTGTTTTTGGGACATGGGGCAGCAGACGATTTTTTTAAATTTTTTAGTCATATCTTTCTGAAAAACAGCATAAAGCATTGAAATTTATACAGATACAGAGTGACCCATTTGAAAGCGGGCCACCCTCATAACATTTTTATTTATGGAGCGATTTTGACGAAATTTTTTTTGAAATGTAGAGGGGGGTAAAGTGTATTTTGGGGCCAAGCGCCGTCCAGTTCTTTTTTAAACTAAGGCCTACTAGATCACATTCAGAGGCTGAAAAATCCAGAATCCATATTAGCGATTTTTTTAGAAAAAATCTGCGTACGCCACTGGATTCGGCGTCCCCTGAAATGGATCTGTACCAAATTTCATGAAAAAATATTCAACATTAACGATTCTGCGGCTAAATTGCTGTCAAATTGTTTATTATGCATAAAGAAACTTTTTATCTAGTAACCCATGCGATAATAAATCAATCACAACAAATATTTAATAACACGTTTAATAGACATCATTATACCAAAATACAATGAAACAGACAGAAAAATGAACGAGAAATTAACATAAAATTTACAAAAAATACAATAAAATAAAATTAACACACATGAATTAAATTAAATTCTGGATTTTTCAACTAAATCTCCATTTAATTGAATGAATATTTTTGTAAATGTTGCCTCTCCTAGATTTTTTTTATGGGGGTTCATTAAAGAAAAAGTTTACTACACTCGTCCAATGAATGCAGAAGAACTGCGCGAAAGAAGAAGATAGGCATGCGCTGAAATTACAACACATCAATTGTCTAATGTTATGGCACACATTCAAAAACAATACAATAAATGCATTCAATTAAATGAAGATTTAGTTGAAAATTCCAGAATTTAATTTAATTCATGTGTGTTAATTTTATTTTATTGTATTTTTTGTAAATTTTATGTTAATTTCTCGTTCATTTTTCTGTCTGTTTCATTGTATTTTGGTATAATGATGTCTATTAAACGTGTTATTAAATATTTGTTGTGATTGATTTATTATCGCATGGGTTACTAAATAAAAAGTTTCTTTATGCATAATAAACAATTTGACAGCAATTTAACCGCAGAATCGTTAATGTTGAATATTTTTTCATGAAATTTGGTACAGATCCATTTCAGGGGACGCCGAATCCAGTGGCGTACGTAGATTTTTTCTAAAAAAATCGCTAATATAGATTCTGGATTTTTCAGCCTCTGAATGTGATCTAGTAGGCCTTAGTTTAAAAAAGAACTGGACGGCGCTTGGCCCCAAAATACACTTTTCCCCCCCGTACATTTCAAAAAAAAATTCGTCAAAATCGCTCCATAAATAAAAATGTTATGAGGGTGGCCCGCTTTCAAATGGGTCACTCTGTATATTTTTAGGAGTGCTAAATATATTAGTTTTTGAACATCAGCTCGCCAGTTACAACAATACCCGGTGACAGCTTTATTAAGGCCTACTGATTTTCAGAAGTCCTGTATATTATAGTAAATAAGCTGTTGATTTTGGGATAAGCAATTGTGTTTTTCTCAAAAACCACGAGATTTCAACAAGCATATCTTTTTTTTAGGTAAAATGAAATATTCTCAAAGAAATAGTCATAAGATGTCACTGGGTAAGGTTGAAGCCAGAGTCTACCAGATGGTCAAAAACTAATAACACCGAGTCCTCAAAAATTTATCTGCACCAAATTTCAATGCATTACATTATTTTTTTTTCAAATTGTCTAAAATTACATTTAAAGAAATCGTATTTGGCCCCTTGTACCTGAAAAACAGAAGATGACTTATATTGAAAAATAATCTTATTTTTCAATGTTCTAACGGTCCCTGAATCTATAGTATCTTTTCCAAAACACCCTATATACAGAGCTGAAAGAAATAAACACACTACATATAAATATACAGGGTGTAACTTTGAGTGGGGGCCATATCTATACAGTGGCTTCCTTTGACCTTTTTCCTTTAGAAACACGTATCAATAGTTCATTTTTTCAAATTTCGTGGTAAAAACTAATTTTTTTAACCTTCTTTTAGTAATTTTCGTACCCCACTGCTGGAGAAACCAGTGTAATCTCAAATAACGGAGAGCTTTAGTCGTAGCGCATGCACAATTCCACACCATTCGCCGTGAGTTACTTTTGTTGAGCGGCTGTTCACCACACAAACAAGTAATCTAGTAAAAAAACTCAAGCAGTAATCAATAATGATAAATGAAATACACAAAAACAAATAGTCTGTTGATGGCTTCCAGCAATGAAAAACCTTCGCTTCGTTACGGTTTACCGGCACTATCTCCCTTCACATGCATTGTAGGTTGCCTACAATTCATGTATTTGTAATACATTATTACAGTGGTGGCATATACAATTATTAAAGTGCATTTCAAACTCAACTATTTATTTGATTAAAAAAAAAAGAATTTCAGATTCGTATTCGGGGGAACACATACTATTACCCCTTAAAAAGTGACCACCACCTAAAGATACACCCTGTATAATAATCACGTGGGTAAGTATAAAAAAACTAGGTAATGTGAAAAACAAAAGGTTTTATAAATAAGAACAAAGCTTTATAGAACTGTGTTTTATTTTAGCTATAGCAGCTCGTATAATAATAATGTGCCACCCTTTCTCGCACAAAGGAAAAGATACACTTTTATTTGCTCCAAACTTTTGTTATTCTCATAAGACCTATTAAAGAAAAAACTAAAAAAGAAATTTTTAAAAAAACGAATGAAAAATTATTTTCTTTGGGAGCAAAATTGGAAAAGTTGAATAGGCCCATTCAGTGATATATAATTTTAAACTTTTTCTTTCATTTTCTGATAGTATTTAACCACCTAAATATATCTTAAAAAAAATTAGGTCAATAGGATTAATAATAAGTGATATCTAATTCTGAATTTGTAAGACCCTTAAAAAGGTCGCAAGCAGTCGGAGAGATGTGTAGATATTTGCTATACTTTTACCTATATTATATACTTATATTTTTAAGTGTATAAATAGAGAGTGTATAAGAGACATAAATCAAGTCTTGTTGAAATGCATTTTTCATACAACATATTTATTATAAACATAGAATGACTTGGAATACCTAAATACATTTTCAGATTTTTCTCAATGGCGTAAATGGTTCACTTTTCTACATTTTCTTTATCGTTCCATTTTTGTACAAATGTACCCAACGTACTAGACTGGGTACTTGTGCATGTATGCGACGATGTGTATGTGCCAGTAGTACTTTGACTAGTATTTGAAGCAACTCAGAACCACCCTCGTTTTTCTTTGGTTGTCCGTCTACGGGGTTGTAAAATATTATTATTTAAATAAATTGCTTATAGGTCCCTCTCGCCACGTATTTCGAAATGTTTGTGGACGGGAATGTTTAGATGGGGTAGAATTTTGTTTTTCGGCATAAATGAAAATTCTGCTCTAAATGTTTAAATAATAATATTTATAACCCCCTAGACGGTCAATCAAAGAATAACGAGGGTGGTTCTGAGTTGCTTATAGGTCCCTCTCGCCGATGTATTTTGAAATTTTTGTGAACGGGTACGTTTAGATAGGGTAGAAATTTTTTTCGGCATAATTTTAAAATTCTGCTCTAAATGTTCAAATAATAATATTTACAACCCCCTAGACGGGCAACCAAAGAAAAAACGAGCGAACTGCTTATAGGTCCCTCTCGCTGACGTATTTCAAATTTTGTGTGAAGATGAACATTTTTTTTCCGGCATAAAGTTGAAAATTGTGCTCTAAATGTTCAAATAATAATATTTTACAACCCCTAGACGTACAACCAAAGAAAAACGAAGGTAGTTTTGAGTTGCATACTGTGGCTGGGGAAACCGTGGATAACATCACACAAACTTTTCATTTTTCGGTAATGAAATAAATATTTTATACGGGGTCGATCCTGAGGTACTTTTGCAGCCTGGAACTATACAATATTTGTACAATCCTCGGTTTCGACCCATTTAGACATAAAAACTATGATTAACGAAACTGCCAAGGGAACCACACATCGTATGTATTAACACAGAATGCGATGAGAGCGAACGCGAGCGGAGTGCTCTGCCAGTCGCCCGTACCGGTATTATGATGTCAGGCAATGGTTGCTCAACGTTTTTCTGCGCTCTGTTTTCATTAATTTATTTCACACATTTCTCGTTTAAGCAAAAAATTGATTTTTGGCATACTAACTAATTAATGGGTAAACTTTTGGAATATGCAAAAAAAAATTCTACTGAATGGGCCTATTCAATTTAATAGCGTCACAATGAATCTAAGATGGTCGATATCAATAGGCGTTTTGATACTTCTATCAAAGAGAATCTCAAAATCTATTTCTTTATTGATGTTTAAAACACCATTGTAACCTTGGACTTAATTTTTTTTACAACGAAAATTGTGGCATTTTTTAAAATTGTATGTAATACCTACTTATAATTTGTAAATAAACATGATAACCAAATATATGTCTGAATTGAAATTAGATAGTTAGAATAGCGATATCTACGTATATTAGTTTTGCGGCAAAAATATTCTTGGTCCAATGTTTAATAGATTATCAGCAATTAGAAAATTTTAGATTTACTTTATAAAATACAAATAAAGCTACACATTACACATTTTTATCATTTAAATAAAAATATTTCCTAACTGAATCACAGCTTAAAAAAATCCTCACTCATTAAAACAATCTTATAAAAAAAAGAAAGGACAGTATATACCTACGTTATTGGTCACCAGTGAAGAATGTAATCACATGTTTAAAAAATGATTAGTTTGGAATGAATTAAACACAACTAGCTCTACATGAGAAGAAACAAAATGAAAAATCATCACATTTTAATCAGTGTTAACATTCAGCAATTTTTAGAAGTCCAATTAGCTGGTTATTTGAAGCTTATGTTAAATTTGAAACATAAGATTTCTATTTAACACCTACTGAAAAACAACCAAATATTTTTGTAATAGTTTATATACTACTTTGAAAAAGGAACCCTATTACATCATTTTACTATTCTTAAACTGCCCAAAAATGTTTCGTACTCACTTTGATTAAATAATGAAAGACGTACAATACAGCATGTGCTTCTACACCAAGGAATCTATCAACTTATCCAATAAACTTTCTTACACTAAAGAGGATGTTTTTTAATCCACGTATCTAATCTATGTTTAGATAGTCGCATTACACAGATATTTTATCTCTAGATAGAAGATAAAAAACACAACAGCATATTGCGTCAAATTTAAATTAATAATCTACAGGGTACTTCAAAAAGATCATACATACACAAAAACTTTTCTCACTTACGCTTGTTCCCCGTTTCCTCTTCCTGGCAACTTAAAGGGTTGGGATCAACATCGATGGAATCCGTCAGCATAGCAATCAAGTCTTGGAGGTCCTGATCTTCCTCCGATTCATCGGGAAACATATCCTCCAGTAACATTTCTGAACAGATTCCTGCGTTTTTATCGTTCCGTTCCGCATCGGCTGTTTTTAGATTGTCACTTGCTTTTAGGTCGACACATTCCAGTTTGTCATTTGAACTTGAAACTGCGCTTATCGAAAATGTGGTATTGGTCTTTCTTTTTATCTCGGTTTTGTTCAAAATGGTAGTAGTACTAGTTGATGGTGAGCAACAGCAGCAGTCTTCAATTATTTCTACATTTTGGATACTGTGTTTTTCATTTGAATTTTGTAGTTCCGTCTCTCTTTTTATTTGTGGTAATTTATCCATACGTGATTTGTTAATATTTTGTGGTAAACTTGTAACCTCATTGCGTTTTGGAATGAGGTCATTTTTCAATTTCTGGTGTTTATTTTTTTCATAATACGATTGCTCTTCAATTAAATGATCTTTCCCTTTCAGATTTTTTTCTAATGGCTTTAAACTTTGTTTTTCCTCTTTAACTGATTTGTGTCCATCTGTTTTTCTTTTAAGAGTATTTGGAACCAACTTGGACAATTTTATACAGGTCTCTTCTGAGCATAACACTTTCCTCAGAACTGATTTTATTTCGTATAGTGTGCGCCTTTTTTCTTTCAGCACTTTAATCTTTTTTCTGACGATTCTTGCATGCGCTTTATCGTTATACGAGTTGTGAGAGGTCTTCCGACTTAATGATTCTTTTCTCAATTTAAACTTTTCTGATTTCCGCTTTTTCTCATTTTTAAAACTACCTCTTTGTTTATGCAAATAGCAATACCGAGTTACTTTATCTTTCCACTTAGTTCGGTCTAAATCTGAAGCTTTTTCACAATATAATCCTCTGCTGCTTTTTGCTGGAAATTGGTCATTTCTGTTTTTCACTTCTTTCCATAAAAATTTATTGTTTGTTTCCCCAAAAACGCGTTTAAGTTTACATTCTAAATCGTTAATATTATAAATTTGTTGTGCGTTATTCTGAAATGAAAATTGAGAAAAATCTTTGAACAATGACTTAAATTTGTTCTTAAAGCCAGTAATATTTTCACAGTTACCATCGGTTTGAGTCTCTTGGTTCTTTTTTCTTAATATTTGATTAGGAGATAAATTCGAACACGTTTCTTTGCTTTGTGCTTGACGTTTTAACCCCAACTGTGTAAAAAAATAATTTTCCTCATTTGATTTAGAATGTGTATTACCTTTTTCAGTTTCATTATGTCCTTGAAAATTTCCATGTATGATTTCCATTTCTCTTTCGATGTTACTAATATCCTTATATCGCATATCGGAAAACTGTAAATTCGGACTGCATTTTGTTCTGTCGAGTACATTACTTGGTTGCACTTGATCACAATCATATTTGTTATTCTTATAATTAAATAATGCATTTTTAGATTTGATGGAATCGATTTTATTAATCTGTTCATTTTTGGACGTAGTACTATTTAAATTGTTTACAGTATTATTTAACTCACTTGATTTGTTAATATATGATTTTTGTGCACTTGACTGTTTGCACACTGTTCTATCCTGTGGAATATCTACATTTAAATGCTCAGTTTGGAAGAATTTTATTATTTGTTTCTTCGAAGTATATGTGACAGTTCGAGTTATACAAAGATCGTCTGGTTCAGATTCATCTTTACTTTTAGCGTTCAAATCATTAATCTGCAGGTTTGAACATGTTTCATTTACATCCTCATTCTCTTTTCTCCATAAATAACCAGTACCGGCAGACCCTTCTGACGAATATCTCCTAAGTATACTAATTTTTAGGTTACCGTCTTCTTCGTCTTCTACGCAATGCGGTGCCGAAATCGAATGTCTTCTTCTATTTCTCTCATATTCTTTCTCTTCTTCTTGGTCCGATTCATAATAGTTCGGTCTGAGGTGTATATCAAATCCAGTGCTTAAATTTATGTATTGCCTCAATGGGTATCTGCCAATTTTAGTTTCCAGAACGCGTCTCAAAATTTCTTCTTTTTCCAGCTCGCTGGACATAGAGCAGGAATACAAAGGGTTTCCGTGAAAGATTTCCTCTTGGACGCAATCGGAAGTTTCATAGTCCGAGTCTACATCGCTGGAATATTCTGAATTTCCGTTGCGAAGTCTTAAAGGTTCTAAAAAATGCGACGTTTCAAAATATAGATTATTTCACAATTAAATGTTTAACTTTAAAATACGTGTTAAAGAAAAAATACTACATGATTTGCAATGTTATATTTTCGAAAATTTCCCAAAATACAGTTGCTATAGTTTTATGTAAGAAAAGTATTTCCTGGACACAAGCATTCAATCTAATTTTAAAAGAAACCTAATAATTTTATATTAATTTAAAAATATGAAACTAACTTACCTGGTAAAAACATTTGATATTTTTTATACAATTGTACACTGCGCTAAGTAATAACCTCCGTAATATGTAAAATCGAAATTTAAATTGTACTTAAACTTCTATTATCTGTAAACTACTGCGCTTGATTCACAGTTGGTTCACTTTCCCCACACCGCCATAAACTAAAAACTACGTATGCGAATTTAAGCTGCAGTTGATTGTGAATGTGCCAACCTACAGTTCATTTGAACTACTACAACATTGTTCTTTCTTTTCTAATGATAGTTTTCCTAAAATTCTGGTACTTCCCCTATCACTTAACAATTTATTACTTACGGAAGTAATAACAGTCTTTTTAACGGATTGCTAAGACTGATGGTAATTTTCAATTAAGGCAGAAATAAAAAAGAAAACTGCTGACTGCCAAATTTCGATACTATAGAGTTTGAGAAGCAAATAATTAACTATTGTTAAAAAATGAATATAACAATTTTCAAAACATTTTAAAACTAGAATTTGTCTATAAATATGACGAATAGGAGAAAAATATATTACTTATCAGTTCACCTCCTGAACAGAGTTTAATAAGCAGAAACAAAATGTTTTTGATTTTGACGAATACGGAATTAAAATGTGGAGACTTACACTGGTTGATCCACCAAAGGTAATAATGCTGCATAGTAGCGGTATTCCACATGACGTTTAACTTTCCACACTCACACTGTATCACTACGTGTAGGTAATCTGTCACTACCTGCTGAGTATTTCGAATTCGAACAACAGCACAAACTGCAGTAAGCGCCACTCGAGACTAGGAATAAGAAAACAGCCCGACCCGAACCGATCTTCTGCTCCGCAGAGCAAGAACAACCAGGCCCAGACCGAACAATAGGAATATAAAGTTTTGTTTATGTGCAATTCAAAGCTCAGCTCATAAATGCCAGTTATTATTGGCGATTTTGATAAGGTACGGGTGGGTCTCGTTCTTCGCACGTTGCTTTTCGTACCTACTGTGTAAAGTTTATATTATATGTATTTTTAATATAATGTATTACACCTAAAGATGAATACAGGGTAACAGGTAAATATCTAAGAAATAGACTCAAAAGGTTCCTTAATAAAATAAAGAAGGTCTGATGTCTGGTATCTACTAGTACTGAAATAAAAATGAATACAGGGTGTTACAATTAAAACTTCCCAACTGGAAAATGTTGGAATTAAAAAAGAACAATAAAAACCTGAGACAAGTCGATTTTCTTTTCAAGGGAGACACATGATGGCGTAAGTTTTGGCCCTTAGTCAGGGGCGGAAAATACCCTTAAACTTTAAAAGGCACCGTCTATATTGAGTGACACCTCATTTTAAAGCTTTTTCAATTCTGCTCACGACGTCATACAACTTTTAAAATTCAATCGACCTTCGAATTCTTTGAAACTGAACCGATCTACTTGAAATTTGGCAGATAGTTAGAGAAAAGGTCAATGAACATTAGTGACATAGCGCCGATTGACGCTTCCGCCCTGTTGGGGGTTGACACCCCTTCTCGGGGGTGAAATTTTTTTTCAAAAATAACGCTGGAAATCGATAGAGAATCAAATTGTGTGCAAAAAATATTCGAAGAATTTTTTCGAGAAAATCAATAATTTTTTAGTTATTCACGATTGAAAACTTGGAATTTTGAGTGAAAAAGAAACACTTTTTCAAAGTATTTTTCCCGTATAACTCGAAAACTACTCATTTTATTAAAAAAGTGTAATGAACAAAAATGTAACTTATAAATAAACAAAAAGTTTTTTAAAAAGTGTTGTACGTCCTATACAAAGCGAAATATGGTTAGTGGAAGGGGACTTGTTTTGGGGGGAATACTCGAATCGATGTATTCAACGTCAAATAACGGAAAAAGGATTAATTTTACGTGTATAACGCTCCAGGAATTTTTGTAGTACTCAAAAAGACCTTCAAAATGAGCACATAAAACTTATAAATTGAAAAAAAATAAAGAATAAAATTGAAGGAGTTATCGTCAAAAACAAATGGGTTGCTCATATTTTTTAAGGAAAAAATGAGCAATAAACGCTGTACCATTTCCATCAGAATTAAAATTAATCGTAGACTCTTTACAATTAGTTTTGTTTTAGTGTTTTTCATACGATCCTGAAGTTAGACCGGTTTAGAATGTGTATTTTTTGAATAATGTAAAAGTTGACAACGTATTTTTTATTACACAAAAAAAAGTTGCCTTATTTATATAATAACTCTGAAACTATGAAAGATACGTAAAAAATGATAGACAACAAATATGTAGCTTTTTTTTTCAACAAATATTTTGCTTTTTTATTCCTATAGCATAAAAAATAAAGGAGATACCGCCGCTTGAAGTATCCATTTTAGTGAAGAAACGATCTGTCTCGAGCCCTTCGATCCTTTCCCTTTAAAAAATGAAGGACTTAAAAAGTTTTATATGCAAACGATCTTACAGCTCTTAAAATTATCTTTAAAATGCTTTTTTGTAGGATACTATAGCTTCAAAATTAACCGAGTTATGGTAAAAAAACCAATGACATTTTTTCGGAGCAAAATAGGCTTTCTCATTTTTATATATTACATATTATACAAATAAAATAAGTAAAAAAATTTAGTGTAATTATTTATATGCAGCGTAGCTATTTTTTTATGATTGATTATATTTAAAAATCGATTATAATAAAAATATTTTACATTAATATTGGTAAAAGGGTAGTTTATAAGAGTTGAAAATGGCAAAAGTAAAATATTCTTTCANCTTTTCGTACCTACTGTGTAAAGTTTATATTATATGTATTTTTAATATAATGTATTACACCTAAAGATGAATACAGGGTAACAGGTAAATATCTAAGAAATAGACTCAAAAGGTTCCTTAATAAAATAAAGAAGGTCTGATGTCTGATATCTGCTGATACTGAAATAAAAATTAATACAGGGTGTTCCAATTAAAACTTCCCAACTGGAAAATATCGGAATTAAAAAAGAACAATAAAAACCTGAGACAAGTCGATTTTCGTTTCAAGAGAGACACGCGATGGCGTAAGTTTTGGCCCTTAGGCAGTGGCGGAAAATACCCTTAAACTTTAAATGGCACCCTCTATGTTGAGTGACACCTCATTTTAAAACTTTTTCAATTCTGCTCACGACGACATACGACTTTTTAAATTCAATCGACTTTGTGATGATTTTACGGGATATTGTCTCGACAAGACAAGACGAGATAGTACAGTCATTGAAGCTTTTCACCTCCGAATTCTTTGAAACTGAACCGATCGACTTGAAATTTGGCAGATAGTTGGAGAAAAGGCCAATGAACATAGTGACATAACGCCGATTGACGCTTCCATCCTGTCGGGGGTTGACAATTTTTTTTTTCAAAAATAACGCTGGAAATCGATAGAGAATCAAATTTTGCGCAAAAAATATTCGAAATTTTTTTTCGAGAAATCAATAGTTTTCTAGTTTTTCACGATTGAAAACTTGGAATTTTGAGTGAAAAAAAAAACTTTTTCAAAGTATTTTTCGCGAATAACTCAAAAACTACGCATTTTATTAAAAAAAAATGTAATGAACAACAATGTAGCTTATAAATAAACAAAGAAAATCGTTTTTTAAAATGTGTTGTACGTCCTATAGGGGAAGGGGACTTGTTTTGTGGGGAATACTCGAATCGATGTATTCAACGTCAAATAAAGCAAAAAGGATTAATTT